AAAACATATGCCATGGTTCTTTCTAGTTTTGATAATTTTGATATTTTTTCTATCAAATCGCTCAAAAAATTATTATTTGAAATTAAAGTCGTGATAACTGTTGACATTCCATTTAATTTTTCATCATTTGGCCATTCTTCCTTTGGTTTTACTAACCATGCAGGCTCATGCCACCATAGCATGTAATCTTTTAATTTGTTTGCACAGATGCCTCTAGATGCTACATCAGCTGGATTATCTTTTGATCTTATATGACGCCATTCAGTTTCTGGAATTAAATTTTTAATTTCTGTTGCACGAGTTCTTACAAACTTCTCTTTGTTTTTGTCACTCCAACAATATGTTTTTGGATTCGTATTTAAAATTTTAATTATTTTACTCATTAGTTTTGCTAATAAATGAGCTCCACATAGTTCTAGCTTGGGAATAGTCTTCTTGTTTTTTATTGGTGCTACTTTGCTCTTTGCAGTCAATAGGTTTATATGTAAACCGATTTTGATGTATATTACCGCTGCATAAGCGGCTTCAGATGCATCCGCGAATCCATGTAACTCCCAATTATCTGAACTCGAGACTCCCATCCATCTTGGAATTCGAATTTGCTCCACTGTTTGTATTTTTTTATTATATTCTTCGAATTCATTATGAATTTGCTCATTTAAGTTTTCATCCCAATCATATTTTAATTGCCAAAGTTTTTGAATAAATAATTTTGCGATAATTGTTATTGGTGTTAACCAACCTAATGGGTCAAAAATTTTTGCGTATATTGACAATACCATTCTTTTAGTTATTTTCTCATTTGATAATATATTTATTGTGAATTGAAATGCATCCTTTTTTGGATTCCATTTCAATCCTAGTGTTTTTATTGAATTATCTTCCTCTATGCACAGTATTGTATTTTCGGCGTCAATGGGAAGATTTTTCAAGATTGATTGATTATTGGACATCCATTTCCGCAATTTAAATCCAGCGCTGCTTAAACATTTGAAAATTGTATTGATTTTATTTCTACAATCTAATTTTGTATCAGCGCCAGTCAATAAGTCATCCATATAAAAATCATCTTTAATTGTATTTTTAATAAGAATGTCTCCATTATAGTCTTCAGCAATTTGTTGTAATGTGCGAACTGCTAAAAATGGGGCCGAAGCAGTTCCATAAGTAACTGTGGTTAATTTAAATTCCTCGATTCTGTCTGTTGGATTTTCTCTCCAAAGTATGCGTTGATAATCTTGATGCTCTTCTGCAATTTTTATTTGTCTATACATTTTTTCCACATCTGCTGTCACCACAAATTTCCATAACCTCCATTTTATTATTATGTCAAATATGTCCATTTGTCCATTATGTGAAGACTATTTCCATTTGTTGTTTTAGCGGACGCATCAAAAACTACACGTAGTTTCGTTGTTGAACTTGCTTCTCTGATTACAGCCTGATGAGGCATATAGTACAACCCTTCATTTTCATTTTCTGCTTTGACCATATGACCTAAACGTTCGTATTCTCGCATAAACTCTATGTATTCTGATTTAATTTCTTTCTTCATTTTCTTCTCTAGGTTGATTAGTCTTGCTACTGCTTGTTTTCTAGAATTCCCTAAAGACAATTCTTCTTTAAATGGGATTTGCACCATGTATCTACCGTCTGTATCTCTTGTTGTAGTTGTTTTATATAGTTCCTGACATTTTTCATCTTCTTGTAAGTTTGTGTTGTTTTCATCGTCTATTTCCCAAAATCGCTCTAAATTTAAAGCTGATATTGCTTGATTTTTTATTGTATTTGTTGGTAATTGACCAGATATTATCCACCCAAATATAGTTTCTTGTCCGACTACATCGTTATATTTTTTAATACCTTCTTTTATTATTTTTGGATAAAGATCGCTTCCTATTATTAAATCAATACGATCGCTTTTATTAAATTTAGGATCCGCCAACTTATAAGTATCCCAAACAGCGTCTTCAACTTCTATTGGTTCTTCTGGCAATAATTTTATTAGATGGGATATCACCAAAAATTCTCCTTTAACTTTATTTTTATTATTGAATCTCGATGATATTTCCATAAATACTTTTGAATTCGATGTAGCCATGTTTACATTAGATAGTCCTGATAGTTTGGTTTTATATCTAATTTTCTTTAACAATAATGAATGAGCTATTTTTTCTGATACCATAGATACTTGTGAGCCTTGATCAATCAAAGCTCTCAATTCATGATTATCTCCATTTGAAGATTTCGTGCTGATTAATACAGTTGGGAGTAGAGTTATTTTCTTCTTGTCTTTTTTTATTATTGTGGAGCAGGTTTTCTCGTCTTTATTAGTTTTCGTGTTGACTCTAACATTTTTTTGATTGTAATCCATGTGTAAAAGAGAATTATGAGCTTTATTACATTTTTTGCATCTGAACATAGAGTAACATTTACTGCGATTATTATGACTTAAACATGTTTCACATAGTTGTTTATTACGTACTATCGTTGTTCGCTGACTAACTGACATGTCCAAGAATTTGCTGCAATTATACATTCGATGTCCTATTTGATTACAACATTGGCATCGAATGGAAGTTTTGAGTTTTTGAAACGTATGTTAGAGTAATTGAATCTATTCTTGTGGCTTTCAACCTATTTTGAGCTTCAAGAGTTTGGAATTGTTGCTCTAAAAATTCAAATACATCTTTTAACATCTGTATCTGCCTTGGTTTTTTAACGTGCTGTTCGTATAATTGTATACCTTCTTTATCTAATTTTCTCAAAATAATGTGCGCAAATAATTTGTCACAATTAGATTCAATATCATTATCTGAGTTAAATTCAATCATCTGAATGCATTGTTTAGCTGTATCATGTGAAGTTTTTAAGCTTGTAACTGATGATGAGTTAATTGTTTTCATATCAAGTAACTTATCGAACTGTTGTGAGAAATTCAACCGTTTGTTCTCATATCTTGTTTTCAGTGTATACCAAGCAGTATCGTAGTATGACCCATTTAATAGGTGGCTTATTGCCATACGTGCTTCTCCTTTTACATGGGATCTTAAGTAGTCTAATTTCATTGAAGATGATAACATATGATTATAGTGTACTTAATCTGTGAATAGATCTACAAAATTTTGCCATTCTTCAAATTTACCGTAGAAATCAGGTAATCTTGTAGGAGGTGTTTCAATTTGTCTTTGCACAGTGGGTTGAATTATTTGCTTATAGGATTCATCAGTAGCTTTAATATTTAATATTATTTCAATTTCGCTTTTAAGTGTTTTTAGTTTATATATTTTTTGTAAATGAATAGTTTGCTCGTCATTTAATTTTTCTAATATAAGTTGTAGATCTTCGTAGTATTTTTCTATTGTTTGTATTAATAAATTTCGTGCATAAGTATCAGGAGTATTATATAACATACGATGAACCGTTCCTTCTAATTTTTTGATTAAATGTACCGACATCTCCCAATTTTCGTCAGTTTTTTTTATTATAATTTCTGATTTGTTTGTTACTAATATTTCTTCTGCATCTTCTGATTTGTCTTTCTTTTTGGTCTCTGTTACTAATATTTCTTCTACATCTTCTGATTTGTGTTCTTCACTTTCCATATTTAATAAATTTTTTACTCCAATATATTTTTCTCTCGTTTCGTTATATAATGCGTCATTAAAATATGGTATATCTTCTATTCCCAACTTATTTAATTTCTTATCGTTCTCAGAAAAATTTTTTCAATCTTCTTCTAATACTTCTAAAGCTTCAGTTTTACGATTCCTAGTTTTTATTTGTTTAGCTTGTTGTATGAACTTTTCTAACTTTTCTATTAGCTTATATTGAGCTGTTAGTAAATCTGTTTGAATTGCTGTTATTAGTCCCATTTCAAAAATAAATATTATAATTTTTAGAAATATTTTTTATTTATCTTTATTATTTTTAAGTTTTTTTTATTTTTTCTTGAATTAATAACCTGTCTTCTTTATTTGTTAGAAGATGTAATTGCTGATACAGAAGTGCGAACTTTTTTCTCCTTTGGAATTCCTTCTCTGCCCGTTTTCTTTTCTTCTTAGCTGGAGGTTTTGGACTTGGTAGTCTTATTGGTTTTTCCCTCTTTCTATACTCCTCTATGGTAAGCCGTTTCGGACCTTGGTTTTTAATTACACTTGGCGTGTATTTCGGATAGAAATGATGGCGTGCTGGATTTGGATCATATTCTTCGATCTTTCTCAATTTTTCTTCTTGGTTCATCTAAAACATGAGAAAAATGTATATAAATTTCCTATTTATCCGACAAAAAGAAGAAACGTCCTAATTTCTGGCCTGGAAGATTTTCCTAAGTACCTTTTTTTCCTAAAGGCTGTTAGGTTCAGCCAATGTTATTGGGCGTTCTTTTCGAACAGCCAAGGCGTTATATCTTTAAAATCTTAGCTATTTAGCTAAAATAATAAATCCTTTTTTATTATAATCTTCCTTAATGAAAGTTATAACAAAAAAATTGTTTAGTCTTAATTGACCTTTTTTGTTTTAGGCTCTTAAAAGGCTCTAAATTTATTTTATTATTTGTTCTTATTGAACTTGTAATTTAGAGTTTGTAAGGCTCTAAATTTATTTTATTATTTGTTCTTATTGAACTTGTAATTTAGAGTTTGTAAGGCTCTAAATTTATTTTATTATTAGTTAAGTGTCTTACCGCTGGTGGGGGATCACTTTAACTAATTTAATATATTTTTCTTTCTTTTTAGGAAAGGTTTAATATTTTCTTACAAGTGTCTTACCGCTGGTGGGGGATCACTTGAAGAATTTTATTGTATATTTAGCCAATTTCCTTGACTTCGAAGGACCAAAATGTCAAATAAAAGGCTTGAGTATTCGTTTGATACTGATTTATTTCTTAAAATACTACGGTTTATATACACAATTTTTGTCTTAGAAATTAAGGGTGAAATAATCTTACTCAGCATGTGTTCAATGTTATCATTAACAATATTGCATTTGTTTTTAGTGGACTGTATTTTCTGGTTCTTACAATTTACATTAGTGATAAAAAAAGATTTTAGTGCTACACATGCTCATATGCTATTTTGGTATTATTTGTTTAGAATTAATTAAATCTATCTATATTTATCTTTACAATCCCATGCAGAGACGCCTTGATGGCATTTGTTACAATAATGATAAATATAAATTTGGTATTTAAGTTTTATGTAAGCAATGTGGAGAACCTATTATTTACTTAGGTTCAATTATCAATATGATTACAGTTGTTGGATTGCTTATTTTTACTTTTGTTGTTCTGGAAAAGTATTTTATGATTTTATTTCTCTTTATTCAAATAACAGATAAAGCATGTTCATTATTGAACAGTTATTCTTTAATCTTCGGCACATTTAATTTAAAATTCTTATTAAAAATTCTTTAATTTAATTCTTATAAACTAATTATTTTCCTTTGATGTAGTTATAATTATTATGTGATTTACAAAATTTTGTAGAGTAAATAATAAAATAAATATTAAATATGTATCGTAACTTACATGAGTCTTTTATTTAATATACTTAGATATTAATGGTTTTTGTTTTAACATTATCTTTATTTTCTCTTGCTTAAAAACTACTAAATACTACTAAGTATTTTATTATTTAATATTTTAAATATTTTTCAAAGTTCTTATTGTTTATATTTGACATTTTTCTTAAAACTATTAAAATTTGTATATACTAAATCAGTATGTTTTCTTAAAATTACCTGATTCTCCAAATATTATCTATATTTTACTTTTATGATTATTATTCTTGTTTTTACATTTTCCCTTGCTTATTTTAATATTTTACTATCTTTTACCTATTCTTAATTTTACCATTAATGACATATTCCTAAAAATATGATATGTTCAATTAACTCTGATTTAACTAAATTATATTACTAACATTATATGGTATACACCTTTCTTACAACAAATATAGTACTAAAATACTCCAGTAAACTGTATTCCTGAATGAGTTGGTGCTAAAGTAGAATTGTTATATTGCATGGGTTGAGGTGGTGGTAACTGTGTTGGTTGTGGTACATAAGGAGTTGTATTTGTATACTGTACAGTTGGTGCTTGTACCGGTGGTGGTGATGGTGGAGGATAATTTCTTAAAACTGATTGTAAACTCGGAGTTTGCTGTAACGTAGGTTGTTCTTGTTCCGTTGTAGTCTTTTTTTTTTTTTTTTTTTTTTTTTTTTTTTTTTTGCAGTAGGTGGAAAGCATCGAAAGCCACAGTGTGAGACTTGAACC